GAGGAGGAATTGCTTCTGTTAGCGCCATGAGAAGGAGGAGGAGAGGAAGTCATCGGAGGAGCAACGAGGTTGCCTTCACAATCGTACGAAATCCTGCCGGAGAAATCCAGCTGCCGGCACCGGTCGCCCATTATGATCGACTTCCTCCAAACCTCATCGTCATCATCATCATCGTCACCATACGACGCCGTTGTCCTCCTCCACGTCATCTTCTTGGCCATCAAACGCGCCTTGCTGCTCAGCTTCCACAGCAGCTTCTTCTCCCTCTCCCCCCCTCCCGCTGCTGACGTGGAACCGCAGAGAAACGTCACCGCCGTCACGACCGCCGCCGCCACGGCCACGCAGTACAGCGAGATGGACAGGAACGACGTCGTTGAGAGGTCGCTGAGCTGGATGGTAACGGCCACCGTTAGTAAGAGAGGTCTTCGCGCCATATATATAATTCGTTCTCTCAGCTCGCTCGCTATATATTTGGATTCTTGGTTGTTTTGGACGGTGTTTATGTATTTATACACACACCCGCACGCTAGAAGAAAAAAGGGCTGTTTTTGGGTGATTCACTGATTTGGTAAAGAAAAAAAAGCATGATTTTGCTAATTATTTTGTCAGAATGTAAGAAACATAACTAATCACCATAAAAGCTTATATTTTTGGCAAGATATCATACAAGATTACAATATGGGTGTAACGTAATTGATTGATCCGTAAAATTAATTGACAGGAAACAAAATAATCTATTGATCGTATCTTACTCAACCAAGTGTGTCGTTATACGAATTTTTCAATTAGAGAGAAAAAAAATCGGTATAAAATAGTATGGTGTTCACATTTTTGTTAAAGAAGACGTCTAATTAATCAGTTCCATCCGACTTTCAACATCGAATCAAAATTATGTCGTAACTGCTAACTTGTGTTGAAATGGACCGTTCACAACAAGTTGAGATGGACCATTGACGAATTGACTTCCCAACGTATTTGGAGGGCCACAAAAATGTGTTAATTTGGTTAAAGCCGTCTTTTCCCGCACGCAATTTGGAATATATGTATGTAATGTCCGCTGAAGACTAGGCCCCATAGATGGAAGGATCGCCAATTCACCATTGCTTGCTTTCAACCCCAAGGAAGGATTGGACAAGCTAGCTTCCAAGCAAAGACATAAACATCACTAGAAGAATTGCATTGTATATAATCAAAATGAGTGATAAGATTGAGTTCATTTTCCAAGTTCATCATTAAACTTTCTACCAATTCCTTTCTCCTTGTCTTCCCATATAGCTTCTTGATAATATGTCTCGGATTTTTCAGCTTGAAGCTCTGATCAAGTACAACATCTATGTGAATCGTCGTTATGGTTTACACAATTTATTGCGGTTGACATTGAATCGGACCATCCACATCATATATTAGAGGGGGCTGAGGACTGCCCACCCAACCGAACTATGGCTCTCAATCTTCTTGTCTGGACTAAATCGCGTTGTCCGATCTATACCACATTTCCCATACGATAAAAAAGAGTTTACCAATTTTTTAACCGATGAAAAAGCGGGGAAAACACTTTAGAAAAGAGTTTTACCGATTTTTTAACCGATGAAAAAGCGGGAAAAAACGACTGTTTAATTACCATACATTACTTGATGGCTACCATGCATCTTGGATCACGAAAAGAAAAGAAAAAAAAAACATGTAGGAGACTCGTTTCGTTTAGGTAAAAACAGGAAAGCGACAAATAAAGAAAGAAACTATTTTTAACGTGTATGCAAAAACCAATCTTCTCCATTAATAGATTGTTCTTCACCTACATATACATATTTTACCTTCGAAATTTCAACCAAACCGTCTAGAATTTCCTTCCCCCCATTCGATCATTTCGCCCACCCAACAGCTAGCCATCATGATGAAGATGATCAAGAACAAGAACGTCGTGATCATGGTGCTCGCTCTAACGATCGCCATGTCCGTTCTGTTGAAGGATAATGAAGTGAGTGCGGAAGAGACGACCGTGATCTCCCCGGAGGTGCTCGACCCTTGCTTGGGCCCCGACGCCGAGAAGATCCCCGGCTGTGACAAGCACAAGGACGGAGACAAGCCAGAAGATCACGACGACGATCATCGCGACGACACTCATCACGACGATAACCATGATGATAATAGTGATCACATTCACGATGTTGACAAAGTTGGTCAAGCAGCGAATCCGTACACTCGTGGCTGCCTCAATTCCATGCGATGCCGTACATAAATGTGACCAAAATATGGGGACTTTCGATGAATGGTTATACATACATACATACGTACAATTTTTTTTTATATAAATGAATAATTCGTCAATACAATTTATGTAAGAATTGTTTATTATCGATATAATGTACTAAGTTAATTACTATAAGTTGGGTCTTTGCACCGGGATGAATTTACGTTTTACAACGAGTTTTAATTCGTTTGAAGTGGTATTACATGTATATGTTTGTACGCGGTACATAATTTTTTTAGAACAAATGAGCAACACACATGCAATCGAGTAGTTTTAGTGGAAATACTCCGAAATGTCAAATGTGTATAAAAACCACTGCTTTGCTAATCAAATTTTTAAATGAACCCTAACGTCGTCATGCCTCTATTGCATTAGGGTCCATGCAGCAACATCTAATTCGACAGAACGGAGACAAGCGATAGATACTAAACAACATTCATTAGACAAAACTGGAATTTGGGTCCTCGATGATTTTGCCAAAAGTTAATAAATTCATTGTTCAACAAATGGATCGATTCTTAAGATCAAATATAAACTAGATTGGCCGTGTTGAGTGTTGACAAGTACAATTGTACAAAGTTAGATTAGCGGCTAAAAGATATACTCAAACTCCTGTTGTTAGATTACGCTGACACTTCTCTCTTGTTTTAAAAATGACCACTATCAGGAATCAGTGGTGGTCTGTTTGGAGGGCAATTATGAAAGTGGAGTCTAAGTTCTGGAGGTTTGCTTACGTCGATCCGGGGGAGGTGCTTGGGTTTTCTTCTGGCAGGATCGTTGGTACCAAGATGTGATCTTTGGTGAAGTTTTTCCTCGAGTTGCTTCCGTATCCGCTCACCCTGACGGTTGGATTTCTGACTTTGTATCCTTTTCTTCTGAGGGTGTGAGGTGGGATCGTCCTTTGAATATTATTTTGAGGGGGGGGGGGGGTGTTGAGAGGGAGAGGGTTGATTTACTAAATTTCTTGTCAAATATACCTGTTGGTTGGATTTCTTCTGGTCCTTGCAGGTTGGTGTGGAAGCCTAACCCCAGATCGGGATTCTCAATTCGATCCATGTACAAGAGCTTGTGGTAGGAGAAATTCCCAGGCATCCCTAACTTTCCTGCAAAGGCTGTTTGGTGTGCTCAGGTACCTCTGAAAATCAGCAGCTTCCTTTGGTTGATATTCCACAAGCGTATTCTCATTCATGACAATCCGAGACGACGAAGCTGGAATATAGTGAGTCGTTGCACGCTGTGTAAGGCTGAGGTGGAAACGATTAATCACCTATTCAGAGAATGCAAATGCAGCAACAAAATTTGGTGCACTTTTCTCCAGATTCTGAGGGTGTGCGGACCTCGGTTTGAAGAGATGCAGATGTTGATTCGAAGCTGGCCTACTGGTGATCCTTCATCTTGGCTTGATTGGTTTACTCATCTCTTCCTGCATGCCTATACGTGGGAGGTGTGGAAAGAGAGAAATGACAGGTCGTTCAATGACACAAAGCATACATGACAGACCATTTTTGTCAAGATTGGCAGGAATCTCCTAAGATGGATCTCGGCAGCGGGTTTGATCAGCGAGCACAACAACAAAAAATGGTTAAGGCTTCTGTTCCAGGCCTGTCCTGCCGAGCAGGAATCCAGGAATGAAGTCATTAGTTGAGTTGCACACTGTAGGGTTTTTTTGTTTGAGGCCTTCTGTGTTTGTGTTCGGCTGGGGGTTTTTCTTCGGTAACTGAAAGGGATGTTTTTTTTTTCCTGTGACCAGCAGGGGTGGCCTGTTCCCTTGTGATGTCTCGTTTGGGTTCAATTCTTGTGAACCTTTGAACTTTTTTGTTCTTTTCTCCATTAATATAATTGTCACTCTTATTAAAAAATGACAACTATCAGATGTCTTTTTAGCAGCAAGCCTCAATTGATTTATCGACCAACTTAATATAACCAATACAGTCAAAATTACGATTTTACGTAGACACGATTTAGTGACCAAGATACGTGAAACATAAGTTTTTAAGTTTTAAAACGTAAATTTTGACTATACTTGTAAGAAAAAAAATGTAATTCTACGTAAAAACATTTTGATGATCTGAAAATATAAAAGCTTAAACTTTTAAACATTAAAACGCGAATTTGATTTGAGTACGTGTAATAACACCATGCCTCCACTGATACTCCACAGATACTCCACAACTTTACAAGTCTATATCGATTAAATTGTTTTAATTGATAACTGAAAATAAAAAAAAAAAGGTTAAAAACACCGTTGGAACAAGGCTTTCACACTAAAATGCCCCGGCCCACTCAAATACTTCCTTGACATGGAAGCAGCTAGATCTACTGGTATTAATTCTTCTGGGCCAAAGGAAGTATGTACGTATTGGACCTTCTGGCTTACACATGATTCAAGCTCACTACTATATATATCAATAAATCTGATTGGGCTCATTGCCTAGAGAGACTAGGCGTTCCATCACTGGATTCTGTGTCTTCCTTGGCATATCTCACTTGTCAGTTACAAATCAAAGCAGCAACAAAATATCTCCAAAATATCTCCAAATTATCTGCCAAATCAAAGCCGGGGGAAAATTAACGAACCCTTTTATTAATTGAAACACATACACAAGGAAGTACAGTTTCTGAGGAGCAGTAAATTGTACATTTATTAAACAAAAGCAACAACGGAAACCAAATTAAACACGACAGTACTCACATTCGTAGGAGAAAAAAGGTGCTGATTACATGTGTTAAATAAAATTACTCATCCAGATCAGATGGGGATGGCATTGGTGACGGAAGGGTAAACGACGGTGGCCGGATGGGCCATGATCCTCCTCCCTTTCCGGTGCCTGAATATGTAGACGAACGCCCCCAGCGGCCACTCCACCACCGCCGCCGCCGCGAACGCCAGAAACCCCACCGTCGGTCCCACCACCTTGCACCGGCACGGGTTGCTCCTCGTCCCGCATTGCACGCATATCGGCACTCCCACTCCCACCATAGCTGTCGGATATGTATTTTAACTATTTATTTATGGTATTTGAAATTTGCAGGGCATAAAGGTTTAACTTGGCTCTGGTCGTTTTTTTTTATGGCCGGAAGGGTATTTGTGTTTTATAGGTGCGGGCTCTGATACGTGGAAGTAGCAGCGGGTGTAGAGAGTTGGGCACGTGTCAGGTTCTGCTACCTGTACCATTACGTACTTGACACGTGTATGCCTTCACCGACTTGCTTATTATTTTCTTTACGTTTTTTCGTTTTATGTTTCAGCTCATGATAATCATAAATTATTAGAGAAAGCCCAGAAGGAGTATAGCCCAAAACAAATCTATGGCTAGTAGCTTTTACCGGCCCAAGTCTAAGGCCTGCATACTCTGGGTTTCAGAGCCCGAAGCCCCGAACGAGGAAATGGATCATGTCGATATGAGTCAGTCCTTTGCCTCCTTGGACCATCTCCAATCTCCATTGCTATTCTCTAGCAATGCCATTATGGCCACCACAATCTTCTTCTTCTTCAATCTCCATTGCTATTCTCTAGCAATGCCATCCTCCTCCTCCTCCTCTAAAAATGGTGGTGTTGTGCATTATAATTTCTAAGTTGTTTAATTAGATAGAAGAACACTCATATATAAAACTAGCTTATCACCCGGCCCGTTGGCCGGATTACTGTATGTTACCCACTTGTGGAATGGGAGAGAAAGCAAGTGAAAGTGAAGGGATTGAGATTTTACTTGATTAGGACCGACCCACTAATCCGATTCTTCCCGACCCGCCCCAACCTAAAGGGTCAGAAAGAGTCAATAAGAAAATACGAACGGGGAGGATTGGTCATATATCTTGACTCTTCAGAAGTGGGTCAAACAGGATCAAGGTTGGGTGAGCGCAATTTTTAGCGCTAAGCAGAGTTCTGGGTTGAATAACTTTACTTAGGCCTAGAAATTGGTGCTGATGCAGACTGCAATTTTTATTATACTATCATCAATCATCATTGAATTAGTCCTGGGCATCCCTCCCCGTTATCGGTCTGAATTCTAATGATGGCTTCATTCCTTGCACCAGCCATATCAACGAGTTGTCATCTCGAGCATGATTTGCCTATGTACAAATGATACAATTAGAGTATGAAACTGAATCAAAGAAAAGGAAAAGAAAATTCTATCACATGCCCATAAATACACACATAATAGTTGAAGCTAAGTGAAAGTCATTACTCGCACATCAATTCTCAAAAAGTACAGACTAAACAATGGCTAGAATGCAACTGAAACTATCAAGAATCATTGATGAAACAACTTGTCAAATTAAATAATTCTTATACTGAAACTACCTTCTAACTTGAAATAAGACATGATCACAGTTCATAGCTCTCTTCTCACTATGAATTGGTTGCAGCTCGTCCTTATCACGACCTCCCAAGCTCAATTCAAACAGAATAGAGACCGTTATGTAAGATAACCATATCCTTACTGATCATAATTCCTTTCTTCACTCCATTTTTGTCGGAGAAAAGAGTTATCCCCCTTCCTGCATATCCCTTCCCCCCTCTCTTCTCCCTCTTCTTCACAAACCGATCCCTAAACCAGCAACAACAACACAAAAATAGCCTTCGCCTCTGCCATCTCCATCTACTGAACGCGTTGGTGGCAAGACAGGACTGCAGAAGCAAAATTTTCTAAAATCAAACTAAATTTTTTGAAGGAGACTCAACCACGAAAAAAGAGTAAAGCAACAATGCTAATAGTTCAGATGGTTGGTTTTGATGTTATACGTTGCTTTTGTTCTGGTCTCCAGTATATCAACTGCAACAGAGATGTTTCCTTCAATCATCTTTAGTGCACGATTTAGAAGCAAGTCCTCCTGTTTGTGTCAAACGGAAACATTCATGGGTTCTTAACTCCCCTGTTAGCGTAAATGCAGCAGCAAAGAAGTTTGACAACACAGCAAACACCCAGGCAAAATGATACAATGCAGTAGGTGATATGTGTCTCGAAGGTTTTGAGTTACTAAAGTTCATGTTAAAAATAAACATGAATTAAAATGAACTATTCATTCAATACATCAATTTTAACAATCGCAAATACCAAACAAGCTCTTAATATGGGATGATGGGAATTTGAACCTAGGACTTCTTGCACACAATAAACAGCTAAACCAAGTGTGCCAAGACCACTTATGGTATTTATTCGGAAAAATAATATATATAATACAAACCGCCGGGTGGGGTGCGGGTTGCAACCAAACCGCCCCCACCCCACCCGGTCAGCAAAACCGCCCCCTACCCGTGCGGTTTTTGTGAAAGGGTGCTATTTTTGGAATTTTTTGGGGTTGATTGCTATTTTTGATTTTTTTTTAAAACAATGCTATTTCTAGAAAAAGTCTGATTAATATTGGAGGTCGTGAGTATTTGAACACGTGACCTAATACACAAACCAACTATGATACCATGTGATGAAAATGAAGGTACAAACAAAAGGAAATAATTATTATATTATGGTTTGAGATTGTGCTTCTCGATCACTCATTGTCATTCGGAATCAGCACCTTTTTTCTCCTACCCTTGTTTCCACTCCATATCCTTAATTACCCTAGCTAGCTACTCCCATTCGGCCATTCCCATATGTGATCTTGTTCAACCTTACAAATGATCAATCCACGCACCTGCATGTATATAAAAAAAAGCGAGTCATACATAGCCATTGTGTTACCCTGTTAGTAAATATGGAAATTGTTGTATATTATTAAAGTATGTGTAGTACGCGAGTAGTATTGTGTTATACTACGAGTACTGCAATGTAATTAGACAGAGTTACATTCCATATCAGAGTCGTATTAGTGTTAGGGTTACTACAGAAGTCAGTCTCTATGCTCTATATAAAGTTATAAACTCATTGTGGTATAGTAATAATATACAACAATTTCCACCGGTTTATGACATACCCGTTCTGTTTACGTACTGAGGAGGATGATGGAAAGTTGGTTGGCACTGGGCAGGGTATATGATTCTCCTCCTCCTCCTCATCACCATCATGCACTATATACCTACTCGAAAAGATTATTATTCCAACCCACCTCTGGAAACATCTATATGCACGCGTTAGCTACTTAGCTAGTCTTTTGGGAAAGCAGAGATCCCCCTGCAATCCTTTGTGATCACGATCAATCCCTTTCGCCAGCCCATGGTGTGATGGCGAATGATGAAGTTAGTTCAGCCTTGCGGAAGGTTCTAAGTTCGGTTCGAATAGCTACGTAGCCATCTTTTAGGCAAGGGAAAGCGTCACCGATCTCTCTGGCCATGAGTTATATCGGTGATGATCAGAAGCCGATCGAATAGATAAAAAAGCAACGGCGTCGATCGTCGGACATGAGAGGAGGCTAGGTCACCCTCAAACTACGATACCCACATGGAGCTTTCGATCGCTCAATCTGATCCTCAACCTCCCAAGAAGTGGAAGAAGCAGTCAAGTACGTACTTGTGCTTTGCTAATCTCGCCAATTATATATCCCACCATGTGAACTCGTCACGGGTTAGTTAGGGATGACCAAAATAATGATACATATGTGAGCCCCCGTTCCAATTCGATCTGATCGGGTAGTATACAACTTGGAATCGAAGGATTTTGAATGTGTATGAGTACAATTCGAATATGGTGGGTGATTGATTGATATAGTTTTTCTAACTATCCAACCCGTATATATATATGAGTAAAATTCGAATTTTGTGGGTGCTGAATGGATATAGTTTTTCACTTTTTTTTAACTATCCAACTCGTATATATGAGTAAAATTTGAATACTGTGGGTGATGTATGTATATCGTTTTTTTCTTCTAATTATCCATGTATGTATATCGTTTTTCTAACTACCCAACCCAAACTCGTCTAATTGTGCAAATGCATATGTATTATGTTTAAAAATGATTAGTATTTTTCTCAATATATTTGATATTATCATACATATATAATATTTTCATGAAATTCTATTGTTTTGAACTTATTTTCTTTGTTATGATAATTTATTATTGTAATTATTCACTTATTTAAAAGATAATCTATTCTTTCGTTACCTTGATGTTCATCAAAGATATCAATTAATATCATTATTATGCTTGGAGGAGACACATGAAGATCAACATTTCAAAATTTTAGTATTATAACTAAGAAAACAGTTACAAAATTCTCGACGGTAACATAAAAATGACTAATATTTTGATGCATTACGAAAAATTTAGCTAACTAATTTTAATAGGTTCGGATGATATAAAAAATCTAAATTTTTTTGAATAAAAAATAGACATTACACTAAAATTTACTCATCATCCCTACCTCTCAAACCTTCTTGTTCAACTAAACTATATCTTATATCCTACCTCTCTCTCTCTCAAATCTCTTAACCTCATCCCTACAATTAATTGGCACCTTTATTCTCATCATCAAACTTAACTTCATCTACTCCACATGCACATATACTCCCCACTTCAAGCCTCCCCATTTATGCTTCCCCCCATCTACCCTTCTCATTCAACCTTCCTCCCTCTCTCTCTCTCCCTCTCCATTTCCCATAAACTTTCCACCATGAAAAAACTGGCTGCAGCATTCTTCTCAATCCTTTTCATACTATGCCACCTTCACGATACTAATGCGGCAACTATTAGCAGTGTCACAGAAAAGCTGGACGATCAAAACCAGCCAACGGCAGAGATAAAGTGTGGATCGTGCCCTTGCGTCGACCCATGTAGCCAGCTGCCTCCGCCGCCGCCGTCACCACCACCGCCGCCGCCTCCTCCACCACCTCTGCCTTCGCCACCACCACCGCAACCTCAGCCTCCTCCGCCCCCGGATTGTACTCCTCTTTCGCCTCCGCCGCCGCCACCTCCACCGCCGAGAATTGTGTACGTGAAACCCCCGCCGCCGCCGAGGTTCGTGTACGTGACGGGGGATCCGTATGACGTGGATTTATACAGCGGAGGAGGACGCAATGTGATTGACGATGGCTTGATGATTAT